TCAATAACCCCGCAAACACAATACAAACGGTAAGCCTTTAGCCTTAAGGAATTGACCAATTGTAATCGATTATTCTTCTCACGTTCGACTGTGATTGATTAATTTTTAAAGGCTTCAAACTTATTACACTCATTGTAATTGCGGGGTAATGGATTTCTTTTCAGCATAGATGATACGAGATAACACAGTGAATCATTTCGTTTTTGTTTAACATTGGCAAACAACTATTATAGGATGTAATGACTCATTGTGTTACTCTGTGCCGTCTGTTTCTTGCTGGAAAGTATCCAACAGCATCATGACCTTACTTGTCACTTATAAGTTCACTTATATGTGACATATGAAGTCATGACGAGACGTCCTATGATATCATAACTCTATTCTACCTATACTCAGAGAAAAACATAATGGTAGCAACTATAAGATAACTATATGTACTACACTGATAACTATAAAAGTTTTTCTTATCTAGTTTCTATTTTTTATCTAGAAACTATAATAGTTTCTAATAAACTATTTTACTGCAGCAACTATAAAATAGTTTATTCTATTATATGTGTATGTTAATTCTATATATAAATTGTATAATTATTATATAATAATCATAATACAATAAATAATTATTATAATAAATATTAATTCTACGTCTATATAGCTGTATGTCACTTTTATAGTTGTCATCATTGTGTCTTTTTCTCTAAGTGTGGGTTATATTAATTAAGGAATCTTACAACAGTTACAAAGCTGCTCTTTCTGCTGAATGCAGCCAATAAGTCGACGGCGGCCGCGTCCGCATCGCGATCACGTACGCGTAGATTAGCGATCGTTTGTCGGTCCCGGACACGCGATGACCGACCGCGAACTCCGTCGTGATCGTCGGTCACTCGACATGAATTAACTCCTCTCTCTCTCTCTCTCTCTCTCTCTCTCTCTCTCTCTCTCTCTCTCTCTCTCTCTTTCTCCCCCTCTCTCTCTTTATTGAGCGTAAACATCGCAAACACGCGATAATGCAAAACGTGCCGGAACCAGCGATCTTGAAATTCGCTCGGCCGCGAACATCGCTTAGGCGTCCCCATTACGTAACATCATAAATAGGATTTGAAAATTTTATACGAATCCATTTACGCAACGCGAAATATACTCGTATAAAATACATGTAAAAGCACGTATGTACGCGGTTTTATGGAACTGAATTAAATTTCTACGTATAAACAGTCAATTGTAGCTAAAGCAGAATAGCCTCTCGTGATTGAAATTCTGCGCGAATCGCAATGACAGATCGTAACGCTTAGAAACGACACATCTGATACATCGGAATACTTGCCAATAAACCTCACTTATTTACATTCTCTAGCGACGTTTTCCTGGCACTGTTATTCGTCAACGTTTATTTTGTTATCGTCTTACGAACTGCATTTAAATGTATCATCATTATGTAATTCCAAGGAATAATTCCAGCTTCCACTACGAATTCTAATTTAGTCGTAGATTTTTTTTATACATGAAACAAAATGGAAAATAAATATGCTGGAATACTTTTTCAAGTTCTATTTATTTTGTCACCATCTTACGAATCACATTTATGTATATTATTACGTAATTTTTATTTCACAAAATATTTCCGGAATTTCTGACAGTTATATGAATTCTTTGATTAATTTACAGTCAAATTTTTTTTCTAAATAAAACAAATATGCTTAAATACTTTTTCAAATTTTATTCATTTTGTTATTATCTTATGAATTACATTTAAGTTATTACAAAATATTCTCGGAAAATATTCTCGGAATCTCGGTTATGTATTTTTTGATTAATTTACAAATTTTTTTATAAGTAAAACAAAATGTTTAAATATTTTTTCAAATTCTACTTATTTTATTATTATTTTATGAACCGAATAAATTTATACGTTTATTACGTAATTTTAATGAAATGTTTTCGGAATAATATCAGACAGCTATAAAATTAATTTACCAATCTTATATACAAGACAAGAAGGAAAACAAATATGCTCAAGTACTTTTTCAAACTTCGTCAACGTTTATTTCATTATCGTCTTATGAATCTATTTAAATGTATCATATCATATTTACGTAATTTCACGGAATATTTCAGAATAATCAGGCTATTACAAATTCTTTGACTAATTTATACAATCGAGTCTTTTTGTGATCGCGACGCAAACACACGGGAGGGAAACGGGTAAATACTTTATTTCAAACTTTGTTTTTCACAAATTTCAATATCTCTGATTCCATTATCCCGTTTCGAAGCGAAACATGATGCAACATCGTGGCATCGCATCCCGTCGATTTCTATTCATGATCGATCACGCCAGCGGAGGAAGACATACATCTCGCGACGAGATGCGCAGGAAAACGCATCGGTGCAATAGTCGACGGTCGTTCTCGCTCTCGTCTCGCTCGCTCTGCTCGGCGGAGTATTGGAATTTCGAAAAGCCGGGCCGCAACGTACGTACGTACGTACGTACATACATATACGTATATCCCACGTGTGTGCGAGTATTCGCGCGTCTGTGTACGTGTGCTCAGGTAGACAGCCCTGATTTAGAGCATCCCCCAGTTGGCGGGCGTTTAACCGAATCGAGGATTCATCTCTCCTCAAAGCAGCGCGGCGGCGGACGCGATGCATGAACGGTGTGTAATATGATGAGCGCCACACGTATGACGTGTGTACGTAAGCGCGAGCTTTATACACAGCTATACACACACACATACGTATATACATGTACATATATACGGACATACACACGCTCGCTCGCGCATCTCTCTCTCTCTCTCCCCCCCGCACACCGCCTACCATTCTTCCCCCCATCCTTCACCTACACACTCGCGGCGGTTACACCCACGCCGAGCTCTCTACTTACGTTGCCGGTTGACTCGTGTTGTCCGGCGCTCTCCGCCACTTTGACTTGCGCCGTCTCTGTCGCAGCACCCGCGCGCGTACACACACGTAAGTCTATATACACCCACAGTCCGACATTCGGCCTTCCCGCTACAACGCCG